TTGTGCTGGCCTGGTCGATGGGCCTCATCATGGTGCACTTTGCTGGCCTTTCAGAAGTGTGGATATTATGCAGATCAAGGGCACAACTTCACAAATGTGCGCTTGCACAAAGCAGAGATAGCAGAGAGGGTACTGAGCGCCTTATTCCACTCAAAGATGGCGACGTACTGTTGCTGAGTCATGCTGCTCGTGTTGCCCTGCATTCCTCTCGCCTGCTGTCCTGTTGGGGGGAAGTCTGCCGTCTGCAGCTTCACACACATTTCAAACAGCAAAGAACGGATCAACAGATTTTTGTCTTTAGCCCAGAAAATCATTACATCGTGCATAACAGATGAGTTTAGCAGCAGGCACACATGTGTGTGGGGTACTCTGGTAAGTGTGTTATTTAAATCCTCAGAAAGACAGAGGAGGAGGGCAGCAGCCATTGTCTAATGAGGAACACACCAGAAGCCGTGTTTTCTCAGAAGAATCAATAAAAGAACCCTCAGCAGGCTGATGAGGAAGTGTTTTGGTTTCCCCCCTCATGGCAGCTGTTGTATGTGACCTCTGACTTTGATGGTGTATTTTTATCTCCTTTGCTTCCTTTAAAGAAAATCTGCTAAATTGTTAAACTTTAAACAGTGAAGGTGTGAGAGATGCTGGAGAGACTGGTGCACGTCTGACAGTCTGTGGACGTTGGACTGCAGTGCTTCCTTATCGTCCTTTAGTTACTGTGACTTTAATAATCAGAGTACGCATGTGTTCCTGAGTCATGTTTCCTGTTGAACACCTCAAAGTGTTTTAAGATCTATGCTTTAGTGTCCTTCTAAATTTGTAAAACTTTACTTAAACATGATCCTGATTTGTCTTTGGATTCTTTTGGTTTGTGTTTGAACCGACAGGAACCAAAAGGACTGAATGGATCCATCTCCATTATCCGTGGCTCACTGTGAAAGTGTCCTGCATGCTGAAATGTTTTGCAAACTCAGTGAGTGGTTTTGCTGTAAGTATCAATAGTTTTAGAAATTGTGCTGTAAGAATCACAGTTAGGGTTTAAGCATTCAGAAAAAACTGTAAGCAAGGGTTATTCGCTTTTGCAAGGAAACTACAATGTTTTGCTGATTTGGTGAAGAGTTTTCTTATTTGTGTGTAGAGTTTTGCAAAAATAGCCAATAG